GTGAATGCGATTTGACTACTCCTACCAAATGCACAAGTAAAAGGATGCTTGTTTCACTCTTCACCATCACTCTGGCAAAAAATACCTTCTTTGGGTCTAACACACGAGTACATGAGAATGGAAACTGACACCCAGAAGTGTGCATCTAAGTTGTTTGGACTTCCATTTGTACCTTCAGAAGATGTACGTGAAACTTTTGAGTACATTGTGGAGAATGCAGAAGAAAATTTAGGTGACCTAGTGGATTATGTTGAGAGGATATGTGTTCATAGAAGGAATGGAAGAGGCAGAAGAAGATCAGAAGCTCCAAGATTTCTACCAGAAACTAGGACTGTTCATATATCAGTACTGAGCAACAGGACAAACAATGCACTGGAAATCTGGCATACCACATTTCAGAAGCTGGTGGTAGTACATCATCCTTCATTTGGAGATGTACTGAAGTGTTAAAAGGTGAACAGCAAAGCAATGAACGATTTATATCACCCAGGTTCTTGGTGGTCGCACTCAAATATGGCCACCAACTTCACGGCAATACAGACAAAATCAAATTCATGTAACTAAAACTGTTCACAAATAAAACAAACGCAAAGCCAATAATCAGGTGGGTATATACTTAAGAGCAATTGCTTATCAATTTAAGAGTAACCTTGCTGAACTTCATGATGAGGAAGAACAAGAATGAATGTGAAATCCAAACTTCCTCTCCAATTACAATAAAAATAATGTAAATAAAATTTTAACAAAGTTAAATGTTTGTATTATTTAATGAATCATGGGCCAACTGTCTCAATGGACATTTTGGCCAGGACCAGGTGTCCTGCAAGGGGTTCGTTTAGTCCTCTCAAAAGAATAATCAATGATAGAGATCAGTGTAACTGCCTTTTCCTTGCATTAAGGTAAGTTCAATACCCTACTGGAAGCACAGGTGAAATCTTCTAACTAACGTATTATGAAAATGTGGTCAACAACCAGCTTACTGGTGTGGAAATGATATAAAAATGGCAATTTTTGAGGTTGTACTAAATTCATAGGAAAACAGCTGTGAAAACCCCCTCCCCAAAAACATTTGGGGTAAAAACTAGGTGAATAGACCTGGATGTGCTCCTGAAAGAGAAATGATGGGATTTTCTTCGTTCTCTAGTTACTTTCTTGGCACCATCATAGGCTCATTGGTACACTTAGCTTTGAAGTCTCCAAGCACTAGTTCAGTAAAAAGAGCTTTGTGACTCCAAGGCAGACAGAACCATTTTTCAATCGCAGAAGCACTTAATTCTTTCTCACTTTAAGTGTGAAAGCCATTTGGGCGATAGCCCAGGCAGGGTATTGCAGACCGGGAGTGAAAAACTCTTGGCCTCTAAGAAGAAACAGTAAGGGAAAAAAATTCAGTTACCATTTAGGAGACCAAGAAAAAAAGATACTGCATTTAGAAAAAAATTGCTTTTGGCAACTGTGTTTAAGACTCTCAGATTTGGAAGTTAAACATGGGAAAATGTTATAAACGAGTTGCACCATATTTGTCTATCACTCTCTTTTTGAAGTGGCAATCTGGGTGACAGGAAAGTATGAACACATCTCTATTCTGGTGCAGCTTGCTGAGAAATGCAAGTTATAGAATGAAGCCTGCCTGTCGGGCTGCTGCTTATAAATAGAAGGAATCTGGCTCTGCCATAGAGTGGGAGCTCCGGTTTGACTTTTTTGCATGTGTGTGAAGGGAACTAGTGTGTGTTTGATAGGACAGCTCAGCTGTTGTGAGCTGGCAAGTAGGGACAGAAGGGAAAAAGGGGCCCAGCAAATAGCCATTCTCTGAATGTTCTCCTTGATGAGTCGGGATGTTTCCTGTACCAGGAATCCTCATGCTTGGCTTACGACGCTGGGGCTGGCTGGAGTGTCACAGAGGAGGCCGAGGGAGTTCTGGAGTGTCACAGGCCTTCACAGATGCCCATAGCCGTTTGGCGACAACTCATCTTCCAAGATGACGGGCATGTACTTCCTCTTCCTTATTTTTTGCTGGTTGTAGTCATTTTATGAGATGATGGGCCTATAGAAATTTTGAGAGAATTAAATTATGGGATGTTCATATTCAGGTAGGAATATATATCATTAAAAAAGAAACAATATCTGCTGAGTAGGTTACTGCACTTATAGCATTTTATTTAATTCCTGCAGTAACACAGTTACGCAGGTGGCATCAGCCCACCTTAAATGCGTTGAAATGGAGGTTCAGGGAAGTGAAGGGATTGGCCCAAAGTCTAAAACCAGTAAGTGGCATGATCTGTCTACCCAACTTGGCCTCGACAGCCCGTGATCAGTTGCTTCACCTCTTCCCCATGACGAAAGCGCACCTGTGGGCTGCACCAAGAGCCCGATTATCCTAGGAGACCAGTGTGCCTTTGCCTTGTAACCTGGGATGCCTTAGGTCTTCACACCTCTACAGAGGAGCAGTGGGAGCTCAGCGGCCGGCCACTCCCTGGCAGTTCTGTCCAGAGGCCACATAGCTCCACACCAGACCTCCTTTATAGAGGGGATTATAAGCCACTTGTCAACATTCTGTGAGCCTTTCAATTTTCAGGCTGAGCAAAAAGTCCTTAGTCATTCTTCTGGGACTGTTGTCATCCAGCTGTCATCTGGGCCCTTGGAGCACAAAGTTTGTGCTGCTCACCTGGCCATATTTCTCACAGCAACATCTGTGTTCCTTTCTCTTTCCTTCCCTAGCACCTGGTTCAATTTAGATGAATGTACTACTGTTTTCTTATGCTTAATGTCTATATAAGCCAAAACCATCTTGATTAGCTGATGCAATCATAGGGATGTTATGAAGCGAATGCATACTCAATGATTTTTACACTTCTATCAGTTTGGTAATACATTCCTCACCAACCTGTTCACAAAAAAAATGTGTCCTGCGGTATCGGAGCTCTGCAGTGTCCTTCAGCAGAGACCTTACAAGAGCTCCACTGGGTCGGCCTGGTTGAACATGCCCGGGCACTGGATCCTGAAAGTTGGTCCAAGGATAAGTCCGTGTTCCTGATGAGGCTTTCACTAAATCTTGGCAACAAGTGAATGAACAAACAAACAAGTTAATAAATAAATACAAAAATAAGTTTTTAAAAATGAATCAATTTAAAGAAATCGTCTTTAAGTATATGTTCTTCATGATTGTGTGTATATGTATTAGAAATGTCTTTTTCCTGAATTGATGGAAATCACAGATGGTTGATGTCAATTTTCAGTGGCCTATTTTACCCTTCCCCTTAGGCAAATGGTCAATTCCATATAGATTCCTAAAATTACCTCCACCAAAAAACTTGCTACTGTTCTCTGAAATCCTAAATCTGGGAACCAGTAGTGCCAAATATGATGTCTGTGTCTCCACCATCCTACACCTGCCTTCCTCAGAAGCTCCATCAGTGGAGAACTTCTAAGAGGGTGAAAGCAGAAGGAATTGGGAAGAAGAAAATAATCCCATCTGCTATAGATAGAGAAACAAGAAAAGGAAATATATATTTACATATTTATATATTTAAATGATGTAATATAATTATATAAGTTATATATGTATATATTTTTATGTATTTGTTTATGGAAGCTCTTTGAGTGTAGGTGAGCTGACAATTTTTCATTGTGTGCTCTTGAGCCTTGGGGTATTTTTGACTGAGACTGTTAAGGGCAGAAGCTTTCATTTCTTGTGGGGTGTGAGAGGGAGCTTTCGATTCTTTCTCATCTGTTTTCTTTTAGTCGTTTTCCTTCTCTTCTTTCCCCCTTCTTCTCAGTACTGAGCTTGCACCAGACAAAAGGGGTCCTTCCCTGCCCTCACACTTTAGAGGGCCCTACTTATCACAAAGAGACATAAATGAACTCATTCAAGAACACGTGAGCATCTCTGTCTCTTGGGACCCAGTGGTCAGTGCTGGGACCACCTAAACACCCACCCTCAGAATGAACACCGTTCAGGCTCCAGAGAATTACTTCTCATTCCTTGCCCTTTGTTCTTAAAATAAAAAAGGTGACTCCATCCAAAGGCCGTGAAGTCTTACAGCTGTACTACTGCTACTTACATCAGAAACAAGCACTACTTTGGAGTGTCGGAAAAGATTTGAGCGGCAGAAGCTCTTAGGTAAGAGAAAAGACAAATTAATTAACTTGTCAAATAATTTCTCTCTGATAGCATGAATGTGATGGAGTCTCGTGTGATCAAATATCATTTCCCAGTACTGCTGAGCATCCACTTTCTTATTTCTCTTTGTGGTTCCAGAGGTATTTACAAATTAGAGCAGTGTTCAGAGCACTGGTATGTGGAGTATGAGGAACATTTTCTAAAATTAAATACTCCCAATTACTACTAGTCTGTATAGATGTGGATCTAGCTACAATGTGAGAAGTGTTGACATTATTACGTGGCTCTAGACATTGCTTTAAAAGGTGGTGAAAATCATGATATGACAATTTATATGTTGCAACTAAAATATTCTGTAATTTTTTGTGGTAACAATATTATACACACCCAAATAAAATGTTTGCTCATGATCTATAAAGGAATTTTATTAAAAACTCCCATTACTACTGCCCTAGCAGAGTAAATGTTCTCTACATAGAAATTAATAATTAAAAAATTATCTTAGAACTATAATATTTCAAGAAATGTGTCTATTTTAGCATTACTGTCAATAGAACATAAAACTTATGAAAGTGTTGATTATAATATAATTAGTGTTTTGCTGAAACAAAGGCAAGAAAAACAAATTTTACGGAACATATTTGTGAATTAATGAGAGAGATCTTGTCAAACATCACTAGCCCATCAAGAAAACACTCAGACATGCGCAATATAATTAAATCCAGTCATCTTTGAGAGTTTGTTGACTTTCCGTCATACGAAAACCATAGTTTTAAACAAGGTTTTTCATTCTATCATTGTGAATATGTATTTGTCAAGGAAGGGTGTGGACTATGTATCATTGAATACTTTAACTTGTTTTAAGTCTCTTCATTATTTAGATCTATGCCTGTGGGTTTCCATTTGAACTCTTGGCACATTTGGTCTTGACTCCCCTCATTCTCTCTTCTTTTTCTCTCTCCTCCCTTTGATACACCTTTATTTCTCTCTCTTATTCCTCTCTTCTCTCCTCTTTGGCTTTATAAGTCTTACTGCATCATCTCAAGTGCTTAATAAATGCAATTTTTGTTTATTTTTACAGAATCAAATCAAATCCATCTCTGAGGCTCCCTCTCTCCCAAATGGCAAGAAAATCCAATCTCAGCCATGATGGAGAGGGGCATGAGGGTGGAATTCTCCTCCTCTTTCTCTTTCTCTTTCTCTAGGGCCATATAGCAAATTGATTTTAGTTTTAAAGGGAAATTTCAGATTTGGGTCTAGGCTATCCATTCAACTCACCGGAAAAGCAATCGAGACAAGAACTCAAGGTTGTACTACTGGCCAGGAATGAAGTCAGTGCACTTGGCTGCTGCATTCCCTGAGGTGTGTCTCTTGGAATTTGGTGTTTTCTTCAAGCTCCTGGATCTGCCTCTCTCCAACATCTGCCTGCTGTCCCATATATACTAAAATATAGACAAAATTAAACATGCTTAAAGGTGAGTTCCTTCTTTCTTTTATTCACATATTCATTCAACAAATATTTGTTGAGAGCCTTCTAATTGCCAGGCATTGTACTAGGTGCTAGGTGTGTATTCGTGAATAAAATAGACATGATATTGCCTTATGGAATTTGTAGTTCAATAGGGGATATATTCAGTAAACAAGAAAACAAATAAGTATGTACACAGAGAATGACTAGGAAGTTGGAAGAACCTAAAACGTGGTTGTACGAAGAGTTGAAGGAATTAGGAAGGTTTGGCCTTCTCCATGGAAGGCTCAGAAGAACTTCTTTAACAACTACATAAATTTTAAAGAATTTCACATGAAAAAGTACTTTCTTTCATCAGTTCTAAGCAGCTGAGCTAGCATCAAAAGCTGGAAGCTTTAGTAAGATCCATGTTGGATGGACAGGATGCAGAATTTTTTGAGCTCTGAAAGAATGGAATAGGCTGCTTGGAGCAGGAGGGGAGTGGGTCAGGTCAGGAGTTCTCTTGATTAAAAGTAGCCACAGTTACTACTCAGTAATAAAGAGGAGTAGACATGCAACAACATGTATGAATCTCAGAAACATTACGCTAAGTGAAAGAAGCCTTACACAAAAGACTATATGTTGTATGAGTCCATTTATTTGAAATTCTAGATTAGGCAAAACTAATCTATAGCAGATACCCAGAACAATGATTGCCGGGGAGGAGAGCAGGGCAGTGAGGGCTAAGATTAATGAGGAAGGGGTATGAGGGAACTTTCTGGGATAATGGACACGTTCTCTATTTTGATAGAGATTTGGCTTACATAGGATATATGCATTGTCAACATTCATCCAATGGTTCATTTAATATTTGTACATTTCACTATATACATATTTCATCTAGAAATAAATAAGGCAGGAAGACAGAAAGTCAAAGAGAAAGAAAAAGGGAGAAAGAAAGAAAAAGAGACAAATATTGAACTTTAGTTAATCATACACATGCTGGAGTTTTAGGGGTGTCTGCACTGATGTCTGTAATTTACTTTGAAATACATGAGAAAGTAAGATGGACTGATGAGTGGATATATAGATAGAAATGCAATAAGGCAAATGTAATCAAATGTTAACAATTGTAGAATCTAGGTAGGGAGTATATGGGGATTCACTGTACAATTCTTTAGCTTTCTTGATGTTTCAATTTTTTCCTAATTAAATGTTAAGGAAAAAATACTCATAATTCATTGAAGATTTACTACAACCTGTTAGTCACCGTGCTATACATTTTTTATGTATTACCTCAAATACTGAACAGAGCAATTTATGGTAGATATTATATTTTGTTTTGTTGTCAATTACTAAATATGTAAATTGTAAATCAGAAAACTGGGGCTAAGAAAAGTTATAACTTGCCCAGGGCCATATGATTAAGTGGCAGGCCTATCTTCAAAGTCTGCACCTGTGCTATCCAATATGGTGCCCACTGGTCACACGTGGCTCTTGAGTACCTGGAATGTGGCCAGTGTGACTGATGAACTGAATTTATAATTTTATTTAATTTTAAGCTGAAAAAATTAAATTCAGTTATTAGAAAACTCACTTCAGTTTCAAGTATATTTGAAGGTATTTTTTCAAACGTAGTATTTACGAATTCTAAATACTTACTAAGTATTCCCAACGAAAAATAAACACATTTTGAAGACTTACTGTGAAAAAAAATGTAAACTATCTCATTCATAATTTTTATATTGATAAAATGTTGAAATGATAATATTTTGGATGCATGGGTTAAATTTTTAAATATTAAAATTAGTTTTTACTTTAAAAACTTTTAACATTACATATGTGACTCATATTTCTATTGGACGGAGTTGGCATATACTCTTACCAGTGTACCCCAGCATGTATAATATTCATATCAAGGCTAGGGGATGCAAATTACCAGGAGTGGGGGTGGAGTGGGGTAAGGTGGGGTGGGTGTGCACCAACTCACTAAGACCCTTTGTAACTATGAGATCCTGTGAAATTTTATGTAGCACTTACTATGAACCAGGGACTATTTTCAAGTCTTGACATTTATACATTCAAGGATATGTAATCCTTACCACAACTCTATGAGGTAAATTATCCCCATTTTACGGATGAGGAAACTGAGGCACAGGAGTGCATACACAGATATTTAGTTGCAACTAAATCAAAAGTAAAGGAACCACTGCCATTAATATACCCTCAGAATTTAAAACCTACCCTTTCAGAACTTTCTTTAAATGGCTTTGATTTAGAGATTTGGTTTCAATCTCTCAGACTATGGAGAACATTTTCCTCCAAGGACACTGGCCCCTTTTCCATGCACAAGCAGCTCTTTGAATTGTGCATCCTTTCCCAGAATTCTAAGGCATTTATTCAAACAATGTGGATCAAACTAGGTAATTGGCCAACAGGAGTACACTGTAGCTGAGCAAATGGGTATTAGAGGGGTCCCATTTGAGAATTCGTCATTTTCTTTCAGGAGAAAGGGCAGTTTAATCTCTCTAAAAGCCTGCCACATCCTGTGATAATTGACTTAGCAATGGAATTGCCTTGCAGAAATCTTCTGCATTTCTTTGGCGGTGATGCTGACGGAAGTCTTGAGGATGCCCAGGAACTGCTGGGTTGTTCTTCCTAAGTATTCGCAGAAGGAGTGAAGGTGACTACTGCATTCAGAGGCAGTTAATTTCCTAAGTGCAAGGCTTTATTCATTTTGAAGAGAACTTGGTTTGGCTGGTGTTCCAGAAACTGCAGCAAAGAAACTCAGGTGAGTTGTCAAAAAGTTACTGGAGCAGCTTGCAGTGTTGGTTCTCAGTACCAGAGATCAAGCCTTTCCCCTCTTTTATGAATACACCTTAAAATTCGGGTTAGTACCAATGCCAGTTATAATCCATGTCTATTTCCAGAAGGCATTGCCTGCTATGGTTATGAGACCCAGCATGTGCAGGCTGTTAATGCATTGGCAAAGTTTTCAAACAGTAAAAGAGGAAGCTCTAAAATTTCAGGAGCATGTCACCCTAGTGCCAGTCCTTGAGAGGGCAGAAGGTGATAACATGGGAAAGCCTTAGACCATTGCTACTTAAAGTGTGGTTCTGACCAGCAGCATCGGCATCACCAGGAAGCTTTGTGGAAATGCAAACTCACAGATCTACCGAATCAGCATCTCTGGGATTGGTGATCAAGAATATGCATTTAAAAAAGAAAAAAAAAGAATATGCATTTTAACAATACCCCTAGACCAGTGCTTCTCAAATTATCTGTGGCAAAAGACAAGTTCTGTTTTAGTTTTTTTTAATTTGCTGCTAACTCATTCTTTGGTAAAACATCCTGTTCAATGAGGTGAATTCAGTAATCATTCCCTGGGCTGTTGCAGCAATGTCCTTTGCTACAGAAGTTTTAAACACTTACTCTCAGCTTGTAGACCTTTCTTTTTGGAGACTGGTAACAATGAGTTCATGGGATGCACCGGTCCATGGACCACACTTATCTAAGTAGCACTTATCTAAGCCATAGCTCTCCGGTACACCAGCCTTCCTCAGCCCAGAATGATCACTGTTGCTGCCGGGAACTCATGCATCTTTGCCATGGAACACCAGTAAGCCTCACAGAGAACAAAGACATAGAGATGAGAGTTAATCAGGAACCACCCCTTCTATCTAGTTTGGTCATACAGTTACTATACACACTTTCAAATAACCCATTTCAGCTGAACTAGATCAGGCAAAGTTTGGTCATGGATGGATCACCTTCTCATGTTGTTGCATCAAGGTGGTAAATTGCAAAGATTTGCTTTTCATGTAGTATTATTGCTGTGGTTCATGAAACTCACAGTTGCCATGAGTCCGTAGATGTTATGGAGCAAAGTAAATTTCTTTTTGTATCTCTCTTCCAGTAGGGCTGAATTTCTAATTTTCTACTGAAAGGCTGTGTTACAGAATTTGGCTGGTCAGATGACATTTGGAGTTCATCAAATTCTAATTGATGAATAAACACAGGGAGAATGTTTCTCTCCTGGACTTGATTATAGAGTTGTCACTATCACATGACATTGAGGTGTTATAAAAATGTTGCTTTAATCTGTACTCTGTTTGGTTATCCTCATCCCATAGCCACATCTCTTAAAATTTTGTTAAAATACATTAGGGCCTATTACATCCCTTGTTTATATTAGGGATTCGGTAACAGAAGGTGTCAATGATGTAAACATTACATAAAAGTAAAGGCTTCAGAGATGAAAACAGTGCTTAATGGAGCTGCTTTGCCAGTGGGAAATGAATTCTGATATTATCCAGAACCAGTTCTTACCCTGAGATGCTCCCCACTTACAAAGAGTGTCAAACAGCCTTTTAGCAACCTTCCAAAAAAAAATCTATGATTGTTTACACGAAAGTGTTTCAAACTCTTCATCTGCTGTAAATTGTGTACAGTCAAGTGGGTGCGTTAGGATTTATACTGAATCTCTTTATCTGGTAAGGTAAAAGAAATGTTTATAATTTCCCTGAAATGTATTTGCTTTTCCCATGGCTTTAGATAATACTCCTAAAAGGAGCCATTTATGAAATAGTTGGTTAACCTACAACACAAAGAGTAGCATAAGCCCTTTGGTATTTTCTAAGTCCAAAAATGAATAATTGTGCCTTTTTCAATTATTTGACCTCTTCTATATGAAGGGCCCTGGCTTGTGAAGTTTATCTGGTTGTTAGGAATACCTGTGGCAAATCATTTTGAATGGTTTCTCACCTTGGTTTCTTGAATTCACGTGTGATGAAAGTATGCCCTAAAGAAAATGCAAACGAAAATCCCAGTAAGATACTATCTTACACCCGCCAGAGGGGCCAAGCAAGAAAAGGCTGACAATGGCAAGTGGTGATGAGGACGTGAGGCAGAGAGAACTCTCATACAAGCTTGTGGCAGTGTGAATTGGTACAACCGCTTTGGAAAACAATTTGACCCTATGTAGTAAAGCAGAGCATGTGAATACAACTCAGCATTTCTCTTCCTAGGTGTACACCCTCCAGAGATTCTTTTATACGTGCATTAGGCTATATACAAGACTATTCTTATTAATGTAGTTTCTAATGGCAAAAATTCCCAGTAGGAAACTCAGATGGCCATCTAATAGGAGAAGGGATAAATTCATATTGTTACATTCATACAACTGCAGCAAAGTGAATAAAATACAACCACATGTGTCAGCAAAGATGAATCTTAAAAACATAAAATTAGATAAAAAAGCAAGTTCCAGGAACATACATACAATAAGATTTCATTTGAATAAAGTTAAATAATGTGCAAAACTAAGCAGTATACATGTGAGAGAAAATGATTAAGAAATGCAAATGAATTTAACAGAAAATAAGATAATTGTCATCTTTTGGGGGTGAAGGAGGAACAATCAATGGAGGAGAGTCACAGTGGGATCTGGAGGTGCTAGTCATGTTCTATTGCTGAAGCTGGGTGGTAGTTACGTGGGTAGACGTACCACCCATTTTAAAAAATCAGATAGATGTGGTGTATATTACAATTTGCAAGCATGAACTTTTTCATGACAAAATAAAAGTAAATGGAAAAAGAGTATGTCCTAAAAAGAAACTATGAGACCTCTATCTATTGGGTCCCATTAGGTTATTCTGGGTAACAAACCATCTCCAACTGGCTTAATGAAGCAAAGTTTATTTTTCTCTCATGGCTACATGTCCAATGAGAGTCATCAGGGGCCTCTGATTATTGTGGTAACTGAGGGACACTGGCTGACACAGTTTCTATGGAAAAGAGCCTCTAGGACTACTGCCTGTGGGAAAAAATTATCACCAGATCGTCACCGAGGGGAGGAGGGGAAGGAGAAGGGATAGGACAAGTCAAGCACTGGCTCCTCAAATTGCTCCCTGGAAATGGTAGGTCACTTCCATTCACATTTTATTGACCAGGTTAAGCCCTGCTAACATCAAACGTGTTAGGGAAGTGCAATCTTACTCTGTCTCTGGAAAGAGAACCTTAATGTTTGTGAACAGACCTGATGACCATAATGACTTCCATACAACCATAGCTAAACGTTGAGTTCACTGCTGCTTCTCCTCCCAAGCTCCAGAAGAATACACATTTGGGCTTATCTGCCACTACAACTCTAATAAGGGTTCAACACTTTGGGAAGGCTTCTTTCTTGATTGTCTTGGGAGAGAATCCCTTCTGAAGATAGGATGCTCTTATTCCAAACAAAAGTCATACCCTTGGAGTAAAATCCTCTTATCAGGATAAAGTTTCATAGGTCTTCTCTGTATCTGTGGAGGTAGAAGGCAAAGATACTCAGTGTTCCACTTCCTGGAACTGGGAAAACGTATGTTGGGGTGGCAGTGAGGGTGGGTAGGAAATAGCTGGCAGGGATACCAACAGATACCTAAGCCTATTTGAAAACACAGCAACCAGTAGTTGCAAATTCACGGCCAAGATCTGCCCCTCCTTTCATGTCAGAGTGCCAGTGCCTCATGTGCGTTGGACATAACTGCATCCAGCCAATCAGGGGAGTGAGCAACTACATGCCAACCATCTGACCTGGGTGGTGCAGCCAACCTTCAGTGTCTTCTCCCCAGGGGTGAGGCAGAGGCTGGCTCTTTGCTCTCCAGTCCCATTCCTTGGCCAAGACACACTGGAAGACTGTGTTTCCCAACCTCCTTGGCAGTTAGGTTTGGGTCATGGGGTCTGGGTTCTGGAAACTGGAACATGGTGGACATGATGTGATACACAGACCTGACCATTAAACAGCAGCACAACATCCCTTGTTTTGGGCCAAATGCCGAGGAACCACTCTAAGGAAGCGACTAGATGGTAGGAGCCTGTGTCCTCCAACCACCTCATTGAAAGCTGGCCACTAAAAACTCAGTCAGAGGATGATGTGAGCAAGAAATAAGCCTTTATTTTGCGACACCAGTGAGATCTGGGGGCTGTTAGTTTCATCAGCTAGTGTTACTTTACCGTAAATAACATAAGGGATCACAGCCCCTTTCTTCAAAGCTACTGCTGGCAAAGAACTCTGCTGGGCTGAACTCAGATAATTATCTGGGACAAGTCCTCCTGTCATATAAGAGGGGCTTGTCATCTTTTCTTACCAACCTCAAAATGGATAGGCAAGCCAGGCTTTGCCCATGTGTTGGGTGATCATTGAGTTGGTATTATAATTAGAACACATATAAATGCTTCAACTGACAAAAAATTTCAGTCCCACTTAGGCATTCTGGTTGTCTGGGATTTTGAACATTGGATTACCTCTGCAGGTGATATAAAAGCTGGATAATTTTAGCAGAAGGTGTGATATGATTTGAGATGATATAATTCTATAAATGTCTAGACAGGCTGCTTTATATGCTTTAGGGTCAATTGGGAACAATAAGCCCATTTGGATGAAGGAGGATACAGGCTCCAAATGCTATTTTATGTTATGTGGAGTATGGAGAGAGAAATGCCCAGAGGGGAAAAGTCTGGAGTCTAAACTAGATGAGCAGACAAAAATGGTGGTCACGAAGGGAGTTATCCAGTGAATTGTGTTTTTGGCAGTGACAAAAGAAGATAAAATGCAGATGTAGTCACAGTGATGGGAGCTATAGAGTGACACTTTTGTGCCCATGATGGAGATGCAGTGGCCCTAAGTGTGCTTACTATTCCTTACAGAAGGGGAAGAATAAGTTTGTGCTTGGTCCAGGACACACAGTGACCTTGGGAAAACTATAATGGCTGGGTGACCTCTCAAGAAGAGTTAGTGACACATCAGCTGAAGCATTTGAAGTGCTTGCCCCTTATCACATGGAGCCTTGAATTCTTGCTTCTTGTATGCACGTCCAAGAAGCAGCCTGGTCACTGGTTGACTCATGAGTTAGAAATCTAAACCTAAATGTTGATTCCATGACTTGTTATAGGTGTCACCCTGAGTAAATTCTATCACCTTTTGGAGCTATGATGTCCACATCTATAAAATGAGGATTCCATAGAAATTTTGTGAGATGCAAAGGACAAAACATGTGAAAACAACTACAGCAGTGCCTGGCATATTACCAGCATTCAGTCATATTTGCTCCCTTAATTCTTTCCTCTATTTGATAGTAAGTTCCTTCGGGGAAGGATCAGGGCACATTCATGCTGCATTGCCCCGGGGGCTTGGAACACTGTCTGGAACACTGGAGATGCTTGATAAATGTTTATTAAATGTGAAAATGAAAGGGCTAGGGTGAGGCTTTGGGGCTAACTCTTAGACGCTGGTAAATAGTGACCTTTTCCCCTTTATGAAATATCCCTTAAGATGGATATGTTAGGGAGGCCTTAGTTTCAGCAGCATTTAACAGAGACCTGAATGACAGTGGCTGAAAAGATAAAAGTTGACTTCTCTCTCATGTAAAAGTCTTAACAGGCAGTGCAAGGCTGGTGTAGTGGCTCCATTGGGTGTCCCGGTGGCCTTTGACCTCGTTGTCCACGATGGAGAAAAGGCAGTAAGAGATGGTACACTGCCACTGCCTTTAATGACACAGCCAGGAATCTCTCCTCTCTCACCTCTCATTACCAGAAGTTGTAGCTACAACAGTGACTGGGAATGGAATTTTTATCCTAAGTGTCCAAGTGACTTCCAATTACTTGGAAAGGGAGAGTAGATATTGGAAAACAGCATGAAGTCCCTTCCATAGTCTTCCTTCTATAATACAATACTTTTTGAAAAAATGGAATGATTGCTGGTCTCCTGTGCTGGACCACGAGGATGGCAGCCACTTCCCGGTGCTAGAGCAGAAAGTCTAGAAGCATCCTGATTCCCAGGTAAATGAGGAGCCTCCAGAGAGTTTTGAATTGCCTGTTTATGTGTGAGAAATAAATTGCTTTCTTGAAACCCGTATTATTTTGGACCTTTGCTATTCACAACTGTATATATATTTTAAATAATGCATAGGGCTGGTGTGCAGGTGGGTCTTTGTGGCTCTGTGTGACATGAAGGAACTTTAGCCCTTCTTCCCATGAGGGAGCGAGTGGTTCCTTTCTCTTCTGACTCGGCAGCTACAATGACTGGCAGGAAACCACTCTTCTCTCCATCCAGCTGTGACTTCATTCTATTAAGCTAAAATTGAAATCAGGGGTGAGCTAATGTACCGAATTGTACACTAGTAGCCTCCAGTTTATCCTCTTCTCACTTACAGGGTCTGTACATGTGTTTTATACTAGCAGTGCAAATTGTACAAGACTTAAAAAAAAAATCAAGCCCATCAGAGGTAATAAGATTATAAAACACAGTCCTGCCTCGCTGTAGGAAATCTCAGTGTGTGAAAATTCAGATATATTTAAAGTGATAATGTCTCTACAATAAGATTGATCTCATTCCAAAATAATTTACTGAACACCTAATAATTTACTGAATACCTAAATACTTTTAGTGACACTTCCTTACACATTTATAATACTGCGTCCAAATTACTTCAAATTTTCACCTAATCTGTCTGTTACACAAAGTGGGATACATGGGCTCAAAGACCCATCCTGGGTCTGAATAAAATAGATGGAATTTTATCAATACAGCATCGTGTTTTCTGCTTTGATATTAACAGACTGTATTAATAACCAAAGAAATAGTAAAGAAATATTTTCTTTTTTTTAACTTTTTCTTTTTTGGCTGCCTTGGGTCTTTGTTGCTGTGTGTGGGCTTTCTCTAGTTGCGGTGAGCGGGAATTACTCTTCGTTGCGGTGCACGGGCTTCTCATTGCCATGGCTCCTTTCCTTGCGGAGCATGGGCTCTAAGTGCGTGGGCTTCAGTAGCTGTGGAACTCGGGCTCAGTAGTTGTGGCATGCGGGGTCTAGGGAACAGGTTCAGTAGTCAGGTTCAGTAGTCGTGGTGCACGGGCTTAGATGCTCCTCGGCATGTGGGATCTTCCCGGACCAGGGCTCGAACCCGTGTCCCTGCATTGGCAGGCGGATTCTTAACCACTGTGCCACCAGACAAGTCCCCAAGAAATATTTTCTAAAGAAATAATAAAGGAATGAAAATGGTGTTCCAGTTTACACAAGATCAAGCCTTCCTCATTTCTTCCTGCTATGTTTTACCACAGTTTTGACACATCTTTTTTTCTCACATTTTAGCATTCATACCTTGTGTACTTTATACCTTGTACATTTTTAATGTCATTAAAAAAAAATCTCAAGTCTAGGCATTTTCCCTTCTTACACTGTAGCTATGATACCACAGAAGGTTGGAACTAAAATAATTATGATCCCTTAAGGCAAGACCTCCGGCTTGTGAAGTAGGCCAGTCTTCATACCTAACAGCTTTAACCTCTAATAATACAGAGAAATAGAAAAAGTGTCTACAAGGAGAAGCCAGCCTCTCGTCTGGGCTATCTTTTCATTGTGAGTTCTTTAAAAAACAAACAAAACAAAACAAAACAACCCCCCCCCAAACAAAACCTACTTTAATGATCTATTCCCTTGCTTTTCTTTAAGGAGAAAATCTTCTGTATTTGAATGTGGCATATTTCATGAGTCTCTAAGTCTATGCAGACTCATTTCCATGAGTCTATGCAGAAGTCCACTTTTTGTGAGAAGTCAAATAACTCATCAGTTTGCAGCTTTGGTCCCATTTGCAACTCATGCTGCTACTTTGCGGGGGAGGAAAGGCCTTGGCAAATGTCTGCGTTCCCACACCAGGCAAGAAAACCAACGTCTGCAAAGAGTGTTGAATACCATCTCTACTGGATCATGCCAGGACAAGTGGACCATTCAGAACGACTATTGGAGTCCAAGTTCCGGTGTATTATCTTCTCTTCCATTCCAGAGAGCATCTTCTCCAGATAGGCAGGGGTTAGAAAATCTTTTATCAGTACTCTGATAAATGCAAGTTTATAGAAAGAAATTCAATTAGCAGAGGAAAATCATAACATAGATAAAGTGATGTATGAATATACAAACAACTTTTACATCTGTAGGCTCTTTTCTGCCCAGAATATCTGCTCTACAGCCCATTCTCCTCACTCTCTGCCTCTGGGAAGCAGGAGGCTCCCTTTCCAGGGCTGCCTCAGCCAAGGCTGGTTTACACTCCCAACCCTGACCTGGCCAGTCCTCTGAGACTTCTCCAGGACTCCAGTGGATGTCTGCCTTGGGGCTTTTGCTTGCCTGGTTTCTGGCTTCCCCATGTTTGTTGCTGAACTACAGTGCCCTCCAGTTGGAGGAAAGAAGGAGAGAAAACTCTCTCACATCCACTTCTGAAGTCTTGCTTTGCTTTTTCTTCTTGCCACCGTGTTGCTGGCCCATCTCCGGCCTCCATCTATCTACACGCCAGACAAAGAAGACACGAGAAAAATTCAAGCAACTCCTCTCCATGCTTCATAAATGATCAGCAGAACTCCACCTAACCACTGACCAGGTGTTTCCGGCTCGCATTTTTCTGCCTGACAGACCCCTGCAAAGGATCTGGTAATCACTTTCTGTTCTGCCTTTTGTTTAGTTCCTGCATGAACCATAGACACCCTTGGGGTGGAGGACAGTGGAATGGAATGGAGAGAGCTTTGAACTTGAAGCCAGTCGTTTTAATCCTCCTGGTTTGCAAGCTTAGTGTCTGTGTGATCTTCAGATGCCATTTAACTCCCTTGAGACTCAGTTTCATCTGTAAAATGGGTATACACATGTCCCCCTGATGAGTCAGCAGGAGCCGACAGAAACCCCTTCCCTAGTGGCTCCCCCTCAGACTTAGTCTCCGTATAGTTTTTAAAAGAGTCACCACACGTGTTCAACTTAATAGCTAAAAGCTGGACCACTTAAGAAAGCAGTAATAGAAATTAGTGTCAAAATCTAGAGATTTTCTAATGTGCAGTTGTGAAGTTTAGCTGCATTAATTGACAGAAGAGAGCTGCGGGAGCCTGCCGCGTGGTGGAAGCTTCAGGAGGCTGGTTCTCCTCTGGTTTCCCTTAGAGCAGTCCTCTGCAGAGCCCGATGGTCACATCTCCATCTCCAGATTCCAGGCGTAAGTCCCAAGGAAATCAGGGAAGAGGGGTGAAAAGTATCCTATCCCCATGCAGGACATTCGGAACTTCGGGCTTTCCTTCCTAGAGCGAGCAGTGATATATAGTTCCTGCAAACATAAAGGATATAGCTAAATCCCACTGACTTAATTCTGTCTAGGCTGACCCCCGCCCCGCAAGGTGTGTGAGTGAATCCACGCGAGACTTCTCGAGACCTCTGGGGTGTCTTTACGGGTCGCGAGCTAGGCCACGGAGCATGCGCACGCAGGGACCGTCTTTGCCGGGCTGTGGTCCTTGGAGTCGCCTGCCAACTACGCTGTGGTTGAGACCGCAACGGCTCAGAGCGGTGGCTGTGGCTGTGAGGTGAGGCCGAAGCTGTTACCGGAGAGGGTCCTCTCTTTAGAAAGGCTTCCCGTTTCTTTCAGTGTGTGGTTTTGGTTGGCTGCAAAGAAGTGGAAATCAGATTCTGGTCAGCCTCCATCGCCCCGTGTGGCTCAGGCCGGGCAGTCTGCAGGATGCTGGGTATTAATTCTGCATCTGAGTCTGCCACGGAGAGATTGATGGCTGACCTTTTATTCATTCATCCCGTGTGCACGCGTACTGAGCCCTTATTATGTGCCATGTATTGTTTTCTAAGCGCTCTGCTGGTCTTATTTTTTCCCCGCAGCACCGCTGTGAGGTGGGTACCAATTTTAACCCCACTGCACAAAGGAAGAAACTGAGGCAGAGGGAGGTGAAGCTGTCTTCGTGCCCTTCTATTATTAGGAATCGTTTTAGTTTTACAGTTATTTACTTGAAGGTGGCAATTTCCAGAGAGTTTTTCCTAGATGATCTGGCCTGAACTATTTGCTAGCTAAGCAATTAAGTGTTTGTTTCAGACAATGACAGACGAACCAGACGGGGCCAGGGAGAGCCCTGTGGGGAGGTGTCACTGATATTAGACCCTTCCATGCCACGGAGCAGGTGGCCTGGGTAACCGCGTTTATAGGGGACACCTGTAGTTTTCAGAGCTTTACTCAGTCTCTGATCTTAGGACTGTGGTTCTATAAAACATCTCACATTTCCTTCCAAAGCAAAGGCATCAACCTGCACCCCTTCTCAGCTGACTCTTTAAAGGGGTTTCGATAACCCCTGCAGATGCCAAATTGCATATTGTATCTTCTGTCATGGTTACCTTAAAACAAATAAGGAGAGATTAAGAATGGAATTAAATATCTAAAATTACTCCATTGGCAATGAGGAATAATTTGGGCGGGATGGTAGCAGCTCTCACACTGCGTCTGAGATCCAGTCCTGCCCTTGGAACTCAGTAGAATCTGGTGTGAGGTTTGACTGCAAATGGGACTGAAATAGGAGGCCCAGAGCCAGGCTCCCGCTGAACTGGGACTGCATTATCAAAGCACCAAGGGTACTGTGTGATACATAATGATAAACTGGGCTTATTGGGGGATTGTTGGCAGACAATATTGGAAAATTGAAGTAAAGTGAAAGGATGTGGAGGGCAAGTGAAATTGATTAAGGCAAGTGGTTCACAATTTAGGCTGTTAATTCCAGGTGCTGTCACCACATTCTTTTTTCTAGGAGCTGGCATATACCGTGGTGGTCGGTGGAGCACCACCAGGAAAGTAGGCGGAACGGCACTGGACTAGCCCATTATGAGCCAAAGAAATGCTTAGTTATGCATGACAACCAACCGCTTTAAGGGTGGAGAAGGAGCAGGGCCCGATGCTCTGCTCTATTCTTACCCCATGACCTAGTGACAATACATTATGTGTTTCCATCCCCCGCACCCCCAGTGCTGTGGTCTTCAGGAATTCTGTCCATTTGGCCTCTTAGGATGGGTTAGTCCAGTGCAGGTTGGAAGTGCTGGTACTTCAGGTATTCTCTGGCAGTCTGACTAGCTCTTCCATCTTGCTTCCCTCTCTCCCCAGTCTCTTGACATCCTTTATACACTTCAGTGTGCATCTCAGAGGCTGCTTTGTCTCTAAGGCGTCCCCAACATTGTTTCCTCCTATCTTGAGCTGGTTTTAACCTTTCTCTCCTTTGTGCTTCCTGTATTACAGCATGCACCAAAGGCTATCTTGTATTTATCTATTATTTCTGTTCCTGTCTTAGCCTTACCGAAAGCTCCCTGAGGGTAGGTTTCGTGTTTTCTTTACCATAACCGCCTCCGTATCACTTTGCACAGTGCCTTGTACAAAGCAGATACTTAATAACTTCTTGTTGAATTGTAGTAGTTTAAAAACCTTCCATAGTCCAGGTTGAACTGAGAACATCAGACATTTCCAAAAACGCTGAGATTTGTGTGGCAGGTGAAGGCAGCAGCAGGTGAGCGCCCCCAGGGAGGGGAGACATTTGCAGGTCCAAGTGTTTCTGCACCAAGCCAGTCCTGAGTGCTTTCCTCCCTTAGCAACTTATCTTTCTCATTTTTCCCCCCTACCCAGTGGCCTCTTTGTCCTTGCTTTTTCAGGGATTAAATGGCCTTATTTTTCGGTGGCATGCTCTAAAGATCTCACTAGCATCTCCTTTGCTTTTTGGAGAGCCTGGTTTGTCAGCAGAGGGGAGGACCTCTCTGGTTCCCAGTAGGGATGTTGTGCTCCTCTCTTCTCCTCTCTCCTCTCTGTTAACCTTAGTCTGGAGTAGGGAGGCCAACTCCTTCTCCGCCCGTGAGGGCGCCTCCCATCTGACCACCGGGCTTGGACTGGTGTGGCCTGAGGAGATCCTGGGATAATGTAACCAACAAGTTACCTTTAATACCAGCTGTTCAAGGAGCAGCCTCACCAGCCCCAAGGCAAAGCTTGCCATTGCCGTTTTAAAAATAATAATCCCTAATCATTTTTGTATACCTTAAGCTCAGGGCCCAATAGTTCAAAAATGAAAGGTGAATACAAAGATTTTTTCTTCTGCTCTTACTCTGTTTTAATTTTTTTTTTTTTTTGGTGGAGGGCATTTGTTTTAAAACCTAGGAGATATTCTATACCTGTGATGGCCCCCAGCTGAATAAAGTATTAGATAGTCTCTAGATCTTAATACCGATTTCCATCTCTACTTTCTCAAGACAGCCTGGCTTTTAGCTATTTAACAGAATTCTTGTGATAGGTAAAGTCTTATAAAAATACATGGAGACAAAAATATGAGGGCCTGGGCAAGGGGTTTGTCCTCAGCTCTTCGCAACTCAGCTGGGATATCTGGGTAGGGAAGACACGTAAGAAGAGAGGACTTTGGTAGCGGGTGGCTGGAGTGGCCACATCTCATTCAGTCCACGTGGTCAGTAAAAACTTGGAAGGAGGCGTGAAATGTCCTCTAGCCCTTCTAGTATACCTTGTCTATTTTAGATTCCAATGTTCTTTGATTCCTGACAATTCTCATCTTCTACAGTCTCTGGTCACGACCAGGACCTAGTGACTGAAAGCAGAAGAATTTCACCTATTCCTAAGTGTGGGCAAGACACTGGAAATAATGTGCATCAATCATCAAGAGTCCAGACGCAGCTTCAACAGCATGTAACTGGTGAGTTTAACAAGCCTCACTTTTGACATAAACAAAACACAGCATTATAGTGTTTCACCCATCTTACCTTTAAGCTTGATTCAGTGGGATTAATTTTCCCCTGCCCCGGGATGTCAGCTCTGGCAGATCTTATGCTTTTGCCTCCAGTCTTATGGAAAAGATACTCCAAGGTCACTTTAGGTTGCAAACACAATCTCAATTCAGTAATTAGAGCGTCACCACAAAGATGTTAATCAAAACTTGGACCGTGACAGCATTCAGTAGTTTGCCTTCCTTCAGCTCTGACCTGCTTCAGGGGTGGTCCTCCAGTCTTCACTCCTCCCCTGCCCCTCCCTGGTCACCCCGCCCTCTCTGCACACTTTTCCTCACCAAGGTCAAAGATAAGAGAAGGAGAGAGAAGGGAACTTATGGTTTTCACTAGGCTGGCAACTTTGTTATTCCTGAGCCTACAGCTGCAGTTCCTAATTAGTTACTGATAATTAAGACAGACCTTTTCCCCATGGCTGCTTTTCTGGGCTCTTTGAGGTGCTCTGCTGAAGTCTTCCTCCTGCAGCTTCCATTAGCTATTCGGATTCTTCTCAGCCTGTAGGGATCCAGTGACACCCTTCCAACTCCTTCCACTCAGGTCTTACCGTCTGTGTTACCCTATTGCGCAGGACCAAAGACAAGATGAGCTGGGTCTCTCTCTGGAGTGGCTTATGTCAGTTCCCATGATCCTTTGTCCAGTGAGCCCTTTGTCCAGTGAGCCCAGGTTGCAGGCTGACCCTACCACAGAGCACGGGACGCTGCCCCTTGATAGAATTAAGATTGGTTGGAAACCTTTCTGCATGAAAACTAATTGCACATAAAAATTAGTTAATCTCTGTTTTTCTCAGTTATAGCTTGCTAATTTTATAAGCAATATTTCTATGCGTTAGAGGTAATGAATACAAAAATTGTATTTGATTCATCATATAGTCTCATACATTTTTGAGTTGCAAATTCTCCCAGAGAGATATCGTACCAACTCTATGTTAGTGTATAATGTTCAGAATTTGGTTCCTTGCTTTTGTTCAATGCAGTAACTTCACAGTTTTTTTGATATTTAACTTTTGGTTTTGTGAAAATAAGAAGATTTGAGCATTGAAATAAAGCATTGCTGTTAGCATGATTTAATTTTTCTTGCTTTTGAAGTAGCAAAAATTCATTGACTTGAGGGTAAATTATTTTATTTCTCTGAAAAAAATGTATTATACAATGAGTGAGGGCTGATGATATATTTCCTTGACAAGTCCTTTTAAGAAGACTGTTTCTAAATGCAAAATGCTAAGTGAAATCTTGGGAAGGAGAATTTTTTTTAATAAGTTCATAGGGATCCACTGTGCCCTTCTGTTTCTTTCGTGCTCTTTAGGAATCCTTTCTGTATATACTTAGAATTTTTTTTCTGCTTTGAATTGAAATAGTCTATGGAGCAGCCACTTTATATATGTTTTACACTCTTGCTTGGTTCATAAAAATGCATTTTTAAGAGTCCCCGTGCAGCATAGATTTGTTTAAACATTTAAAGTCAACAACATATCAAGTCTGGTATGGTTGATGGAGCAGAGAGAATATTGAGTGCAAAGTACTGAAATTTTATAAGCTTTGGCAATAAAGGGTAAAGATCTCTATTCATTTAGAAACTATTATTAGAAAATAATGTCTTGTAACTTTATCATTTATTATCTCAGTTGATTCTCAACCCTTGTCAGGGGTTTGTCAATAGGCAGGTCGGATTGTCATATCCTCATGTTAATGATGAGGAAACTGAGGCTCAGAGAGGTTGAGTGAATTAGCCAGTGTCATCCTGCTGGTACACTGAAGAACCAGGATAGGAATCCAGGTTTGCTATCTTTAAGTCCTAAATTTTTACATTATAGCATTATGATTTTCAAGACAACAGTGATTAGTTATGGTTAGGGCATGCAAAGATGGATGAGACTGGCCCTGTTCCCAAAAGCTAGTTGAGAGGTAGAGCTGGGAGACAGACAAGTCATGAAACCCTTGCAGTAAGATTTGGTAAGGACAATAATAAGAACTATTAAATGAGGCACTAAGGAAGCCCTAATTCTATCAGGGGTGGAAGTGGGAAGGAGTTTAAGCTCTTGTGTTTAGGAGAAGGAGTTTTGATCCATGACAGTATCTCTGTTCCACAGACCTGTATATGAGAAAGGAAGTCCCTCCTCTCCCCATCCTCCCTTACCCCAGCCCCTGTGGTCAAGAGACTGAGTGATGGAGGAATTATGGTGATGGTACTGAATACAACAACTCCAGCTGAGCAAGAAAGTCTGTGGCAATTGAAGAATTCTTGGCCTGGGAGTAAGGAGCCTTCCCAGGGAAAGGCAGTAGAGTTAAGGTTTTATAGAGAAGATGGCTCCAGACCTTTGACCTCACTTGGAGCTTCAGAAAGTCATTGCAGCACATGGTATTTTCTAAAGATGGCCACAACAATATCTTTTGTCCCCATGCTCTTCTACAATGTGATATTCTATTCGCCTATCAAGAGGTTGAGTCTCCTTCTTCCAGACTTGTGACTGCTTCAACCAATGGAGTATGCAAAAGAGGGGCTGTGTGATTCCCAAGACGGGTCACAAAAGGCAAGGCAGCATTGTTTGCTGGAACACTCTTGCTTTATTCAGGCTACTTTCTATAAAAGTGAAATCTGTACTGTTAAGGATGAACTAAGCTGTTTATGTATCTTTTTTCTCCCTCTCATGTATCTATGTCTGTCTGTCCACCTATTGATCCATCTATCTACCTATCTAATCATCTATCATCTATTATCTTTCTTAATACAAGAGAAAATGTTTCTGTTGCAATTAGTTCTATTCTACTATTTGCTTTTAATATTGGAGTCAAGTTATGGATATGTGAAATTTGTTTATACAAAGAATCAGAATGAAAGTTGAAGTTGAAAATGGATCCATTTGTTTATTAAGAAGACTTGAGAAGGATGAGAACTGGTGAAAAGGGGGAATGTTGTACCTATCCTAAGATAGTCTGAGGCTTACTCCTCTATAACCTCATGTTTTCTGAGGTTTTTCTCATTCCCTCTGGCTCCTCCTACTCAGTGTTTTGGTAGCCTCCTTGGCTTTGTCCACCTCTCACTTCTTGGTGGTTTCCATGGTTACTTCCAAGACCCTCTTTCCCTTCCTTTTTCTTTCCATATGTCCCTTCCTTTCTCCCTCGCCACACTCTCCAAGGATGATCTTATTCCTTCCTTTGGCTTAACTACCATTTACTGTAGATAGTCATTAGCTCCACAAACTTTTATTGAGTGCTTTCTTTGTGCCAGGCGTTTATCTAAGAGCTGGGGATACGGTTATAGCTTAACATTTTTAGTGGTTTTATGCTTGTGAATTTTATTTTCAACTGGTAGTGATCACCACAGACATTCAAATATTATCATATACATTTACATTAACGTAAAATATGGGTTCTGAAGATGACGAGCTTTTAGGAAAGAATGAGTAGCTGGTTAGCAGCTTGAGCCAGAAGACTTTTCCTGCCTCTTGGAAAGCGTATCTGTTTATCCTTGTAATCAAGGTAGCACGATTGATGAGAAAATACTTTTCCCTTTTGACACATATTGCACTGGGTCGGATGTGATTGGGAAGTCCTCAATGATGACAGTTATTAATGGCAGAAAGCCTGTTTGAGGCAGATGCCAAGACGGGAAGAAGTCATCTTACTTAGGAAGTGTCACCTTACTCTGGTCTCCTTGGCTCTCAGACATTGCGGATTGTACTGGATCACTGTGAGCCAGGCTTCCGGACTTTAGGTTATCCTGATCGACTTCTTTCTTGGACTGAAGTTATTTGGTAATGGTACTAATAGGGACTTTCCAGAGAAATAACTAGGGAAAATACCATAAAACCATTCATGCAGTTGAAAGCAGACGTCTCTGGTGATATTTATATTGGGCAGAGACTGTGCCTTATTTTGGGTTGTATAGAAGGACGTTCTTGGCTTCCAGCAAATTCTAACCCTAATGTAATTTGCAAAATTATTTGGTTTGGAAAGATGCAGAAAAGTAAATTTTAAATTGTCGTGTAACTTTTACTTTCAATCTATTGAGGAGCTTAAAAGTCAACGTGAAGCCACATCCCACTGGTACTGTTTAAAAAAAAAATAACAGTTTATTTAAAAAAAAAAGTCCATCTACATCAAAATAAAAAGCCAACGTCTTTCCTAGACTTTTTGAGTATTTTTTATTTTTTATTAAAATGCTGTTTAGGACTCCTTTTCCTTTTGAATTCAAGACACCAAAGGGCTCTGTTCTAAACCTGTCTTCCACCAAAGCAGCTGGTGGTCTGTTACACACAAAAAGAGTGCTTAACTTTTACAAAGCTTAGCACCCTCTTCTTACATCCAAGTTCTACTGTTCTCTAATGCCAGTCATTACTAATTATCTTCAGCTGTGTCACGCTGTTTCCTGAGGTGCACTCTGATATTTTAGTAACAAAGACCTATAGGCCAATTATTAAATCACACCCAACCTTAGTGATGGGTTTTGTTGCAGACAGCTAGTCTGAGTTTCCTTTTGTTCTGCCTCGTCAAGAATTTACCAGTTAAACTGAGGAGAAACACAAGTGCGTTTGTGATAGTTATGGGATAGAAAATAGACAGGAGAAATTAATAACATAGTGGAGTGCATCTTTTGGTAGTTGCAATATCAAAACTCAAAATTTCTCTGAAGCATGGTAACTGCTGAGGATAGCAGAGTAGAGTGGGAGGGAGTGAAAACTCATTGAAATACCTACCGTGTGTCAGGCTTCGTGCTAAGATTTTCCTACACTTTCTTGTTTAAATTTCACAACAAAAATTAGGAAGTGATTATTCTCTCTAACTCACAGATGAGAAAGCTAAAGTTCACAGATGTGAAGCAGTGGTGCCAGATCACACAGCTAGTAAAGGACATAGCCAGTATTTGAACTCAAATTTGAATCCAAAAGCTTTGCTTTTTCCCAGTATATTATGAA